CAAACCAATGGCGCTGTCTCAAACTATACCTACCTTTTCCGGTTTGTCTGATTTGTCGTTGTGTTTTCTGACTTGTTAATTTGTTTTCGGATTTGTCGTTGTGTTTTCTGACTTGTTAATTTGTTTTCGGATTTGTCGTTGTGTTTTCTGACTTGTTATAATGTTTTCGAATTTGTTGTTGTGCTTTCTGAATTGTTATTTTGTTTTCAGAATTGTGATTTGCTTTGCACTTCTCGGCCACCGTAGTTTGTTGATCCACAGGCATTAAGATGCAGCTCGCTCACTCTCTGACGGGTCAGTCTGATCCAGTTCTGTCCTGTGCTTACTCTGCTGATGGACAGATGTTGGTGTCAGGGTCAGTAATGCACACACATACCTGCACTTCCACTGTAAAGATCATTTTTACTTCAATACAAAAAGTATTTTATCAACATTGAAAAATAAACCTTTAGGTAAATTAAAAAAGATTATTTGGCCTTACTTTGCTCAGCATGGCACTAAACATGCTAAGATCATGGGCTTGATTCCCAGGGAAAAGTTGCTTTGGATAAAAGCATCTGCCAAATGCATAAATGTAAATAATGTAAATGTGTGTTGATCCATGCCTTGCAGTTCAATTGTTGTCCACTGGGTGGTGCTGTGTAATCACAGACATCAGAATCGATGAGCGCTGGTTCTGAAGTCTGTTTGCTAACAATCTCTGCAGAAACTGATTCTTCTTCCACTGTGTGTCAGCAGACAGACAGGCTCAGCTTTACTGCACATAAAGGCCATAGAGGGCTCGTCTGACTCATGCCTTTTAAATGTCACTCTCTCTTTTCTTTCACAGATCGGTGGATAAGACCGTGACTGTGTATCAAGCTGTGAGTCTCATTCATATTCATCATATATTTCTGTCTAACCAATAAAAATAACAGATGATTGACAGCTTGGATGTCATCAGCATAATGTTTACATTTATAATAACTAGTTGTTCTTTGCATTACCAAGGTATCTTACTCTACACACTTAACCAGCATGATAGGTGAGTTGTGAGTCATGATTTCTGAGGTCTGAACTCTCAGTGTAAGTCGTTGAACCGTGTCGATTGGTCTCTTCCTGTTGGGCAGGTATGTGACGGCCTGTGCCTTTTCCCCCACTGCTCCTCTCATTGCCACCGGCTCCATGGACAAAACTGTCAATATCTGGAGGGTAGAGGACGGCAGCGGTGCTCAGGGTGGGTTCCTGAGCTTTGAAAACCTATTCACTCTGCATTTCAAAGAAACATTTACAATGAATATGGGTCATTCCTGCTATACAGTACCTTTTAAACTCTGTAACCCCCTCAAAAAATGCTTTCATTTAAATATTTCTATAAAAGGGTAACTCTTATTTCAAAAATATGCTCTGGTCAAGCTCAGGAACATAAGGGTGTCAGCTTGAAGTTAATTTTCACACACAAAAATATTGTCCAGATTTCTATAATTATATTAAACAGGATGGAATGTTGCTAATACTTTCTCCAAAATTATGTAACTTCCTGGAGGATAATGTAATTAAGGACCTGTCTTTTGTTAAAAGGACATTCACAGAAGACTAACAGTGTTCTAAGTAAAATTGAGGACAAAGAGGAAACTAATAAAATCATTACCAATTAAAATACATGTTTTTGAAAAGAAAAAGAAAATAAAGAAACACCTGGAATATTTCTTAATAAATTGTCAGTGTTTTATGTTAAAAGGGTAGTGGCAAAAATGGCAACATCTACTCAAACAAAATAGTAAAATACTTCAAATATTGGAACTAATTGAACGTGGAATTAATATGATGTAAATAAAAATGAATTAATGATTCCCACTATTTAAAGTGATAGTCCACCCAAAAATCAAATTTCTGTCATCATATACTCACCCTTATGTTATTCCAAACCTGTATGAATTTCTTTCTTCTGCTCAACACACACACACACACACACACACACACAGGTTTGTTTTTGTGAATTGTGGGGACATTCCATAGGCGTAATGGTTTTTATACTGTACAAACCGTATTTTCTATTGCCCTACACCTAAACCTACCCCTTACAGAAAACTTTCTGCATTTTTAGATTTTCCAAAAAACACATTCTAAATGATTTCTTGTTGTAATACCTACAGGTGCATCTCAATAAATTAGAATGTAAAGGAAAAGTTCATTTATTTCAGTAATTCAACTCAAATTGTGAAACTCCCATGTCATTATACAAATTTGTGTCTTCATAAATCGCAAAAACGCACGTGCGCGCACACACACACACACATACTGTATGTGTATATATATATATATATATATATATATATATATTATACATACACAAACATACATATGTAAATTTTTATTGTATTGTATTTTCAGTAGATTATTTTATTTAGCTATTTTATTAGATTTTTTTGGAACATACTTTTTATTTTCATAACTGAATATTATTGAATATTAATATAATACAATTATATTTATTTAGGAAATTGTGACGTTTTTAAGCTGGTATAGTTTTTAGTCAATGGGAACTGAAGCTGTTTAGATACCAACATTCTTCAAAATTTATTCTTTTATAATATAGATAAACAGACAGACAGACGGACGGATGGATGGATAGATATAAAGGAAGTCAATGGGAACTGAAATTGTTTAGATACCAACATTCTTCAAAATATCTTTTTATGTTCCACAAAAGAAAGTCATGCAGGTTTGGGAGCACATTAGTAAATAATGACAAAATCTTCATTTTGGGGTTATTTAATGATCTTTAAAAAAATGTGAGTTTAATATTTTATAGAGTATATTCAATCATAAATGATGGGGTATGAAAATGTACTGCAGAGTAGGAATGACTCATACACAGGAAGTGCAAATTCCAAACTATTTGCATTGGAAAATCTCTTTTTTCTGTTTAATTTGTTCTAAGAACGATAATAATGATTGTTTGTTCAACAAAACGATTGTTTGTTTTTCTTCTTTTGTCATTTTCTCCTGTTTGATTCCTGAAACTAAAGGCAAATTTCTTTCTGGTGCGTGTTTTACTGTTTTTTTTTATCGTTTATTTTGGCTGTAACTAACAAACAGTATACAAAAACTGGCGCTCAGGGCACAAAAAATAAACACTCAACAAACAAACACTTGACAACAAAAATACAAACCGAGCAGTGTTTGTATTGTTCTGTTACACTGCTAAAGCTTGTGTTTACAGCTGTTACAGAGCTCAAGAGATTCAACCAGTTTAATATAAACTGTCTAAGAGTCATAACCTAACTATGACGTCTGCTTGTAACCTGCAAACTGCCCCTAAATTCATATTCAGTTATGCTTGTTCCTGTGTTCCTCTTTTCAGATCAAGCTGCTTCGGTTTCAAGCAGTGGAGGTAAGAGAAATCCAGACCATACAGTACATTGGTAAATAAAAAAAAAACCTATAAATGGTATACTGGGGGCCGTTTAGTTAAGTAAATGATGTGCTATTGTTATCTGCATGTAATACCGCTGCCCGTGTTCAGTAATTACTCACCGATATTCAAAGACACAGGAGAGGTGTAGGCTATTATCTAACCACATACACAAAGAAGAAGAAGAATGAGATGTATTTTTCTCACGGCCTTCAGAAGTTTCTCTGGGGTGATGGAGCACAGCTGCAGCCTTTAGTCCAAACACACAGTGCACTCCGTGAGCTCTAGTGGGCTTTACATACACTGACTGGTTTAACTGCATGTGTGTGTGGAGGAAATCTGATGAGATCTGCAGTGTGAATGCCAAAATAACAGCTCACACACACACACACTAGGAAGTCAAAGTACTGCAAATGATCTGACTGCATCCTGAGCGGATACATGGCGTAGAACATTCCACCTCATGATTTATGCATTAGATGCAGTGTGAGAAGTGTTGACCTGCAGTCTCATTAAGAATTCACTCTTAGTTAGTTTAGTTGATACATTTCACTTGAGATATTAGTTTGTTCATGATAAAAAAGGAACATTAAAAAAAAGTCTGGTTTAAACCACGTTACTGTTTGTATTCGTGTTGGTTTCATGTAGTTTTGAAAAACTTGAATATAAATTCTGAGAAGAAATTCAATTACTCAAAACATATCATGTGGTGGAACCATCAAGTAATGTCATGAATTATGAATTCATAGAATTCATAGATTTATTGGGAGCATCACCACATGATTTTGTACTACCTGAACTAACATGTATGTGTAATAATATGTGACCCTGGACCACAAAACCAGTCTTAAGTCGCTGGGGTATATTTGTAGCAATAGCCAAAAAACATTGTATGGGTCAAAATTATAGATTTTTCTTTTATGCCAAAAATCATTAGGATATTAAGTAAAGATCATGTTCCATGAAGATATTTTGTAAATTTCCTACCGTAAATATATAAAAACTTAATTTTTGATTAGTAATATGCATTGCTTCGAACTTCATTTGGATGATTTTCTCAGTAATTAGATTTTTTTGCACCCTCAGATTCCAGATATTCAAATAGTTGTATCTCTGCCAAATATTGTCCTCTCCTAACAACAAACCATACATCAATGGAAGGCTTATTTATTCAGCTTTCAGATCCCCCTTATGAGGGGTCTTCTTTATGTCATTTTCCATTATGTTTTCTTCTTTTTGCATGTTTCTACATGTTGGTGAGATCACATGACTTTGATTTGATGAACAAATGTAAGAAATACAATAAAACTTTTTAAGATTTAAATTTGTCCTCATTATATCATCATCACCCCCCCCCAAAAAAAATATCAAAATGAATTTTAGTTCAGAAATTAAAAACATGTTCGTCACAGAAGAGGTGTATTCCCATCAATATATGTATGAACTATTTTTGGCCTTTTATGCCTTTGTTAGTTAGGACAGTCTATGTAGATGAGACCGGAAACAACAGAGAGGAGAGAGAGAAACTGCTTGCCTATGGCACAGCTGCATTATAAATCAAAATGCTGCCACAAGGCTATTGCTTCAACTCGAATTACAGTTTTTAATGTATTTTCGAGTTAATTAATAGATGGGACAAAGAATAGCATCATGTCATTGACCATATCCAGGCAACATGTACGTCCTGTTGCTGTTTCTCAGGCAGGAAGTCGAGTGGGCACTCCAGACTGATGGTGAGGGAGTGGTCTGCGGAGGATGTGTTGGCATGGTTACGTGAGGAGGGGCTGGAGGCAGTGATTGACGTGTTTAAATGCAATAACATCGATGGAGAGGAGCTGCTCTCTCTCACCAAGGAAACCCTCAGCTCCGAGCTGCACATTGGTAAAATGACAGCACATACTACTCCGGATCTGTATTTGTTCATTTTCTGTGCATTTTGATGGTTTGTTGCAAAAAAAAAAACATACTGTATCATTGTCAGTCACACTGTTTGCTAAACCTAGGGCTGCACAATTAATCGAATTTCTAATCGCGATTACAATTATGGATGCCACAATTACGTAATCGTTCAAAAGCGGCAATTAATCGTTCAAAGTCCAATTAATCGTCCAAAGTCCACTTATGTTATTCTGCACGCTTAAGATATGTTTTTTTTATTTCTACATGTTATCTTAAGGGTTTTTCCATTGTTTTAGTATAACATTATAATACCATTCATATTTTTTACTTTTTTATAATTTAACGAAACCAATCCGATGTATAGTTGACATTTGAGGCTTAATACTGTAGAAAAGCACTCAAAGTTTTTCAGTTAGAGTGTTTTCAGATTGTAAATTGTGATAATCGTAATTAATAACCGCAATTACAATTTCAAGGGAATAATCGACAATTATGATTTTTGTCATAATCGTGCAGCCCTAGCTAAACCTAATAATTCCTGCTATTTGGTTTCATTGAACTCAGTGTAAAAAGCATATTTCATGTAGCTTTATTTGTAAGTTATAAATGTTACATTTACTTTTAAAATCTCATATGTATTTTCTACCAACATTTATTCAATAAATACCACAAATGTAATAACTTGTCACCGACAAAAAGGTGCATGTTTAATTTAACTGAGCTGTTAAATTTAAGTGTTTGTTGAACACAGATAAGCATTTAAAATTCTACATTATTTTAATGTTAAATTTGATTCATATGCGACAGAATTTTGTAATGTCCCAGAGGTATACAGTAGCTGTTCACTTTCAATAAGTCTATTTTCACCAGTTACATCCATTCAAGTTGATTTGCAGGGCGCTTGCTAACATGATAGTTGGCCGTTATCATCATCCTATGAGGACACTCGCTCATTATGTCTACATTAGTTCCAGTTTCTGCCCAGCATTTACAGAAAGAGTGGGACACTACTGAAATTGGAGACCAAACCACCACTGTTCTGTTAGCACAGATGTATTGATACAGATGTATCCCACTTTTCTGTGATTGGATGTGTTTGGGTGGTGCTGAAGTGTTCTTGTGCTCTCTCAGACTCTCTGGGCCTGCGGAGTAAAGTCATGAAGAAGATCGAGGAGTTGAAAATGGCACCGGTCTCTAACTGCACTCCCGACGAGTACCTCTGTCCAATCACACGTGAGATCATGAAGGACCCAGTGATCGCTGCCGGTGAGTGTCTGAGAAGCTGTTTACCTGCAGATTCTGTTTTTTGAGTTGAAATATTTTCTTCTTGTTTTCCGCCTGCAGACGGCTACTCGTATGAAAGGGAGGCCATTGAGAGCTGGATCAACACGAAGAGCCGCACCAGCCCTATGACCAACCTGCCCCTGCAGACCACACTTCTGACACCCAACCGTACGCTCAAAATGGCCATTTTACGATGGACCACTTGTCAGTGATTTCAGATAATAATGAGCCCAGAACAGAAGTCTCTCTAGAACTGGATCACCATGGCACTGATTTGAGATCAGACTGACATTAGCACGCTGTACATTTGAACGCTTTAGCTTTTAACAGACTAAGTGATGTCTCAGCTCTTGACTTGAGCTCAAGTTCAGCCTTAATCCTGAGAGTGATAGAGGTGTTCCATTAGATGTGATGGGAGCTTCATGTGATCGGTAGTTATGTCACAGGCAGACTGAAGAGCAAGTGGTCCATAATCAGGCTAAAACTACTAAATGCTTCTCCAGCATAACACAGCAGAGTGTTGAGTGGCCTTAAACATCATAATAAATGTTTATCATCCCCTTTCTGCTCTATAGCGGACAGGTTATGTCATGATGTTGCTCATATCAAATAGTTTACATGCTTAAAATCAGGTATACATTTATTAGTGGATGATCATTGTAACCAGTTTAGTGACTGAATATAAAGCTTCACTATGTAATGTATATGTATATGACTGTACTGATGATCTGTAGACAGTCTGGACCTTTACGTACATGAGCTGGTGGGTGGTTCATGCTAGGATAAACCTGCTGTGAGACTGAAAGCCATGCAGAAATAAAATCAACCTGTTGTACAGTTGACTTTAGGCTTGTGATTCATTTTAACATGAAGTGATGGTAATTGCTGAGGGATACATCGCTGTTGATCTTAAGCTGTATCCCACACAGTTGTGCAACTGTATGATAAATCATGCAGCTTATTGAAGAAACGTGTTAGGTAATCAGATTTAGCAATGAATGAGGAAGTCGGAGAAAAAAAAAAAAAAAAAACACAATATCCAAGCAACCACATAATACATTAAGAACTAAGTAAAGGTGCATTCTTTAGTTCGCATTAGCATCGCTTTTCCGATACCACAAAGGTTTTAAACACTGCATTGCCACCTGTCGACATGAATCTGCATTAATTTATGCAAATTACACTGATACTAATGAGTTTCAGAGAGTGGGCTGCAATGCACTATAATTAATTCCCTAACCCTTGGTTCTCATTATAGTAATTTTTTTCTATAATTGTGCAGTAACACAGTCACTTTATGACTTTACAAAAATAAGAAAGAAATGTAATGAACTAATAACTAAATAACTTAAGTCTAAACTGGGGTTTATTGTATATGTTGCTGAAATATTCAAATACAATACATGAAATTAATTGCAAATAATGTACATACGAAATAACCTCTTTGTCCTCATAGACACCTGAATATGGTTCACCATAACATGCATGTAAACCTGGTCTCCTTTATACAGTTCAGGTCAATCTCACAATCATAGTGGTATTTCATAATATATAGCTGTGCAAAAATAACTAATATATAAAATATAATATTGTTTTAATTAGACAACTAAGCCATAAATAAATTAGTCCAAACAGTGAGTAGTTCATGAAGAAATACAACACGCTTCTCCTCAAACACACACACACACACACACACACACACACACAGACTCACCACCATTCGATCAGGAAATCCTTTTGAAAACACACAGGACCGGTCCACAATCCTACTGTAAGAGACAGTGTTTCATCTTGGTAGACGTCCTATGTCCTTACTGAAGTCTAAAGTCTGGTCAGATATCTTACAGATGATTTATTAATAATGTATTATCATATCTCTGCTCTCTCTTAATGTGCAGATGCAGCGCATTTAAAATGTGCTTAAATAAAAATGCAAGGCAATCTTTTAATCGTGTGCGCTTTCCTGGAGCACTCACACAAAATGCTTTGAATTTAGTCTTCAAAACCGACTCAAATGACATTGGGTTTTGTTGATGAAAACCGAGGCTCCTATATTTAAATCGTAAGACTGTAAATAATTTGTGCTTAATGTAAAGTATGAGTTGGTAGCTACACGTTGGACTCAATAAAGGAGCGTTTAGGTTTGATGGAGCTGATCAGGATGGGGTTGTCCCGGGCCAGGCTGGCCTGCTTGTGCTTGGTGTCGTAGTGCTGCTGGATGGGGTTACTGTCCTTGTATCCAGGTCCAGGATGAAATTTGTCTGGGTGAAAGTCAGGAGTATGTGTGCTGTTATGGATGGGCTCCTGATAAGCGCTCGTTTTAGCGTATTGGAGGTCACTGGTCAGTCCCTGCGAGTGCGTGTTCATGACAACGCCAACATTGTGCCCTACAAGCCCTTCTGGCACAAGTCCTTGCCAGCCGTAACCAGACACCAGATTGCCATGATGACCTTGCTGCTGCTGGAAACGTACAGTCTTGTCAATGACTCCCATAAATGGGCGTGGCTTATGCTCAGATTGCCTCGTGCTGCTGTCGGCACTCGCCACGGAATTGCGCACTCGGCTGGAATCCGCCAGGTTCCCGCTGGAGGAGCTTGACACTCTCACACTGCTGCTCCTGCAGAATTCCCCCCTTGGTTCGACGCTGCCTTCGGCCTTCTCTGCATGACCAAACTGAGTGCTGCCCTCTCTGGTACCACCGAGCGGACCCCTCTCAACACAGCCAATGTCAATGCAGGGCCCTGCTCGGAGTGAGGCGGGCCGGTGGCGGCTCGGCATGGGGCTGGACCCGGCGCTCTGGGGCGTCCTTCCCTCTGCATGAAGCGAGCTGCTGTACTCTCGGTTTTTCATGCTTTGAGCCTGTCTGGCTGGAAGACGCCTGAGGGCGGCCCATCCGGGGGCAGCTGTGGAGACGACGGACTGGGCATCCGATATCGCCAGGCCTAGAGAATCAGGCAAGGTGTGGCTCTGATGCCAGCTCTCCTTCCTCTTCTCCTGCCTAGAGGATTCTTGCTCACGCCGCTCCTCCTCCTCATCTGCCTGCAACATGTTTATGCTGAGGCTGTCTGGGCTTTTCTCCAAACTCTCAATGTCCTGGTCATCATCATCGTCGTCATCTTCTTCTTCTTCTTCTTCCTCATCGTTGTCTTCCTCGTGGTGTGAGGGGTTGCTGTGAGAGGTGGGGTGTTCGGAACCCTGTCGCTGCAGGTGTTGGCTCTCTTCCTCCACACGTACCAGTAGACGTCTGATCTCTCTGTTACTGGGGGACAGACGTGCCGCTTCATAAAGATCAGCCAGCGCTGCTGCAAACTGCCTGAAAGTGAAAAGAAGAGGAACTGCTAAATATTGAATCATTATTATAAACCATATGCAGTAGATAGTATAGATATATGCTCTCTCTCTCTTTGAACCTAGTAATCTGCCTCACTGTCTACTTCCTACACCGGAAGCAGCCTACATAAACAGGATCTTTAAACACAATGGAACCTTATAAATGACTAATGTAAAACTCTCTTCACAGGCAGCAGCTTATGTACCATATAAATCATATGACCTTGGGAACATGGAATCACCCTGTCATGCAGCCGGTTTTAATACGTTTTGGAGCTATAAATAGTATAAATGTGATTGACTGTGCTAGTCAACGAAGAACACAGCTCTGATAAACCATTCGCATAACCACTGTGCATTACAAAGCAGATTTAAGGCAGTAGCGTTATACTTAAGTGAATTGTATAAGTCTGTTCCGCTGTGCGACTAAGTGCTTGACAGTTCTCAGTTTGTTCTGCTGTATTTGTTGCTCTTAGCTTTCAGAAAAAGTTACCGCTATAAATAGCACTTTATAACAAAAAGGTCACGACACCAGTACAATAATAAAGCTCATAAATGCTTCATAACATTTTTTTAATTATAATGTAAATACAATAAATTACTATAGTGCACTGAAATATAGTGTTATGCATTTTAATAATCTTAACATGGCATATGAACAATCAGCTAATTAGGCTAGCCTTAAAGTAAGTACACTAATCTACAAACTAGCTTTTTAAAACATTTTGTTTAAAAAACAGACATACATATTAGCAGTCCATGACTCATTTCAAGTTTGATTACTTAGTAATCAAAGATGTTTAAATTCAGTGTAACCCCTCTCCCCCGGGACACCTCGTTCTCGTTCCGAGTGGGTCTCGAAACCGGGTCTCCAGCATGGGAGGCAGACGCACTAACAAGGAGGCTAAAGACTGCTAGTGCGCTAGTGCGTCTCTTGAGTGTGGAGTGAGGTTTACCTGCACAGCACTTACTCGCTGGCCTCCGTTACATCAGCAAATGAATCAGACCAGTGACTCCTGTATTGCGTTTTGTCCAATTTGCCAATTGGGTCAAACTGATTGATTAAAAAGAACTACACAAATGGAGAATTTTGTTGTGCTGTATGTTTGGTTTTGCATGCAGACAGAAAGAACAACCGAAGTAATTCTCTCTTATCACAAACAATTCACATGTTCCAAACCAGCATGAAGGTTCTTTACCTGCTGCTCCTTTTGGCTCTAGCACGTGCATAAAATGCCTCATAGGACTTAGGCTTGAGCTCGAGAGCCTTGGTGGCAAACTCTTCAGCCATGCCAAAATCCTGTCAAGAACAATTGTGAAAGGAAGAAGAGAGAGAGAATTTGAGTGACAGGAGGAAGGGACAGGAAAAATGAGGACAAAATATCAATCGCAAGTTTAACGCTTTGTCTTAACTAGACCCATGAGAATGGTTAGTGCACTCATGGTAGCAATGGTGCATCCTGGTAGTGATGTGTGCATACCAAGGGGCTGAATTTACTTGCTCACATTCTACCTGAGTCCTTCATTCCGCTCTGGTGCATAAATCTGTAATGGGGAGACTCTCGTTGAAATTCCATCCTTTTGAGTCTGAGGTCAGAGTTTCAATGACGAGCCATAACTGTCAGCCCTAATGATGCATTTTAAATGTTTAATAGTGGCAGATCCTATTAAAATAATCATTAGAACTTCCGGATGCCTGTGTATTTAGGAAACACGTAGCAGGACACATAGTGACTCTCTATCTCTCTCTCACATTCATGTAATATGCTGCCTAATTGCACTCAAAACACTTCTATGAACAGCCCGTGAGGCTCATCTCCTGAACCTAGACAAACCATCTTGGAGAAAATGAGAGTGCATGTGATCAATATGAAATGCCTATAGCCATTTAATATACTAAATTCTGTTTGTTAAGGCGCATAGAGATGTATTGTCATCCACCAATTGTTAGGAGTGTTATTGAAGCCTTTGACCTCTATCCACTGAAGTTACGCATACACTTGTGTGACATACATTGGTTTTGCGGCGGCAGCGGGACAGGTTGAGATACAGGGAAACCCGGAGCTCCCTGAATGCCTTCAGGTCTTCCCCGAAACCTTCCCTCGGAAACTTCCTCAGTGCATACTGATACCTCTGAGCGGCTTCCTTCATCTTCCCTTTCTGAAAAAGAAGGAGAGAAGGAATACATGGAAAAGAAACAAGTATGAAAGAGTTTCAGAAAGTCTCAGAGAACATTCATTGAAATTTACTGATCACAGTTTAAATGCGTTTTTTTCTAAGAACTACAGGTAAAACCATAGACGGCTCTTCAATACCATGGTTAGATCAATGCAACTGTGGTTTATGTAAAGCAAATCTAGCATGTGTTATTAAAAACAGTAGCCTGAACACTTAACAGCTCATTTAAAAATTACATATGTACGTTTTCTGAAAATGATAACTTTCCATTTTTAGATCCACAGACCTTATAAAGCAGGTTTCCCTCCTCCATGAGCCTCTGCAGAAGTATGATGAGGATGTCGGGTTTGGAGGTGGCCATGGCCCAGGCAGCATTACCTTCAAGAAAGAAAGAGAGACGTCAGTCTTGACAGTCAATAACAAACCGACCGACTCAAGAGTATGACTTTCCTAACGTTTGTACCTGATCGTTCATAAGGAGATGTTCTGTAGCCTTTAGCAGTGATAGTGACAGCAGAACAGAAAGAAAGAAAAAGAAAAAAAGAGAAATAAAGCATAAAGAACAAATGCAAGGAAAACTCAAGAAGAATAGATGTGCATTGGAATTTGGAAGAAATATAAACTATCATTCAAAATTTGGGGTTGGTACAATTTTTTTATGTTTTTGAAAGAAGACTGTTATGCTCACCATAGCTGCATTTATTTGATCTAAAATACAGTAAAAACAGTAATACGCTGAAATATTTTTGCAAACTGTTTTGTATTTTCATATAATTTAAAATACATTTATTCCTGTGATGGTAGAGCTGAATTTTCAGCAGACATTAGTCCAGTCTTCAGTGTCACATGGTCATTTAGAAACCATTCTAAGCAATAAGAGACTGTGACTATATTCACAATATAGCACAGTCTTGAGCACCTTTTATAAAACAATTACTACATAAAATCAGTTTTAAAATGCTATATAAATCAGTTTCATAACGCAAACCCATTATGTGCAATCCTTTCACTAGACTATATAATTCATAACGTGTAATATATGGCTAATAGTTGTATCAACAAATCAGCATCCAGGACTGGAACTGTCCGTTTATAATACTGAAATAAATGTTAAAAATATCAGCTAATGCTAATTAAAAAAAATTTTTTCAGTGGTTATGGAGCTTGCTCACAAAAGTGGGAGATTTTCTTTTTTCCAGTCCACACAGGAGCTTTTCTGAACCAAGTCTAGTACGTAGACAAGACAAATCGCTCCACAACATCATTAAAATGCATCTGGCAAAGTCATTGCCATCATCAACTTCCAGACTGGCAGAGACAGTTGCCATTTCAGATGTAATTAGACGTTTTTAAACTGGAGGGGGAATATGTGGAATAGGTTTGCACTCTGTGACTGTGAGTAGAAAGCTGAGTGGACTTCGCTATAAAAGTCTTTGCCCTGACGCAGAGTGTGAATGACAGTCCCATACATCATCAGCGTCCTACTTAACTGTGGGCTAACAGTCCTGCACGGCTCTTCTGTGAATATGGCCTGGTTTCAATTGCATTTAAGACTCAGCAAAGAAACGCTATGCTTTTACTCTCCGAGAAAAGGGGAGAACAAATGGAACTCGCTACATTCTAGATTTAGAATGGACAAGCCCCTCCTGAGAACCTGACTGTGGCGATCTAGATTCTAGAGGACAGCACATGAACCCAGGAGATATAAAAGTATGTGTGTCATGATGTTCTGAGGTTAGACTCACCCAGTTTAGCCCCTTTCTTCAGCAGAGTGACCACAACTGAGGTGTTTCTGCTACCGATGGCCCGGTCAAGAGGTCTCATGCCGCTGTAGTCCATGTGTTCAATCGCCGCTCCACACTCAACCAGGTAATGCACCTGAAAACAGATTGCTCAGATATGGACTTGGCATAATACCGAGATAAAAGTGTCCATGTGTGTCCACACAGAGAAAGGTTATCTTGGCTTACTATGTCCGCGTCTCCGTAGAAAGCAGCCAGGTCCAGCGGGGTGCGCCCGTGCTTATCTGTGAGGTCAATCTGAGCTCCCCTCTCCACCAGAAACTCAACCACTTTCTTCTGCCCTTTTAAACATGCCCACCCGAGCGGGGTCAGGCCTTCTTTATCCACTGCTGTTATACATGCTCCTACCATAAAAAAACAATCCTTAAGGACTTTATTTGATAGAAAAACATGAGACGCAGACAGTGGAATACAAGGACTCAAGATGCATTTTGATGCAAGTTGAACTTCTTTTAATTTGTACCGCATTTTTTGGATTCTCCTGTCATGCATGAGATGCAGCAAAAGATGCAAGACACGAGTGCAACGGTCAAAGATGCCCATCTATAGCACATGTTTACATAGAAAAATGGAACACTAACACAGTGGAATGGGAAACACACATTCTGTGTAAACCAACTATTACGTTTACTAAAAATCAGAAAAGATTTCACAGCAAAAACACACATGTACCATGACTTGAAGGTGGACAGTTTTACAATTATACTACAAGGCCTTTTACTTGTTAAAAAGGTATAAACTACGAAATTAGATGACAGAATTAACATGTTTTTCAGCAAAGTTTTGATCATGCTGATCATTTTGAAGCCTTAGAACATTGCATATCAAATATGATACAGTAAGCTTTATGGGGTTAAGACACCTGGTTCATGATTACTGACCCTGTGAGAGCAAGAAGTCCACAGTCTCCAGGTGTCCCTCGCTTGCAGCCACCATCAGTAGAGAGCGACCATGTTTATCACTGCAATTCACATCTGCGCCACGCTGTAGAAACAACTCTGCTATCTAGAAAAGAGAAGAGAGAAAAAAAAAGTAAAAGAGGTGAGAGATGTCAATGTAAAATGACTGTTTTTGTTTAAGTGTAATAAAGGGTTTTACCTGTGTGTGTCCATGTCGCACTGCATTAAAGATGGGTGCTACCCCTCTGCGGTTAGGCTGTGTTACACTGGCACCTCGATCCAGCAGGAACACACACCCCTCTAGTTTGCAGGTTATCTTAAGGTTTTTTTCCCATTGTTTTAATTTTAGTTTTAGTATAACATTATAAAACCATGCATATTTTCCCTATTTTTTCCCCCTTCTAATTTCTAACCTAGCTGTGTTTCAAGAAAAATGCTGAATAATCAGAAAACCTCTAAATCTAACAAAAAAAATTTTTTTATCTATAGTTGGCTAATTCTAAATAACTTTATATAAAACAGTAGACAATAGTCTATGGTATGTGCCTATTTTGATAGCTAAATGTGGGAATGTGTTTGGTAACTGTTTGTTGTGTGAATGTGTGGTGTGGAGTATTCTGTGTGTAGTGAGTGTGTATTCAATACTTGTGTGTGTCCCATGCTGGAGGCAGCGATCAGTGCCTGCTGCAGTGCCTTGTTTTTGAGGTCTGAACTCCACTCCTGTTCCTGAAGATACTGCACAATCTCAGCATGACCCCGCAGAGCAGCGTGAACCAGTGCACACTGACCGCTCTTATCAGCATGATCCACCTAACATAACAAATGCTTATTTATACAGTTTTACTTATAAACCTGCACTGAAACGGAACACATTAATACAAATAAAATTAAATGTATTTCCTAATTAATTTCAGCTTTTTGAGCAGTAATTATCAAGTTTGTCATACTGTATTGTTAAAGCTGTCTTATTATTGACAAGCTCCTGTTAATAAATGAGCGGTAAAATTCCTGGAGTTCATCTGTAATACTTGCAGAAGGTAAAACGGAGGAGGAACAATTTGGAACACCTTGTACACTATACAGTACACTGTGTGCAAAAATGATTTAAAAACGTAACAATATAAACTTTTCACAGACTGAAAAGAGTAGAATTGTTTATATAACCAAAGTTACCAAACCACAAAATAACTGCACTCTGTTTTTGTTGAGTTCAATTTGACATTTACATGCACACTCTTAAGCGTTTAAAGTTAATGAGGACAACAACATTTAATGACTGTCTTACTGTTAGAACAATTTCACTCATTATAACAAAACAATAAAATCTTTTTTTTTCACATAATGCATTTCCCATTACTATATGGGGGCTTTCACAGTAGCATTTTTGATGCACACCCACTCGTTTGGATTATGGGAACACTGTTGTCTGAACTTGTGCACCTGTGCCTAAAAAGAGTGGTCTATTCATCCACTTATATGCAGTAGCTATATTGCTTGCTTTATTAAAAGAGTACATATGGTGTATTTTGTATGTTTATTTTATTCAGTTTCGTTCCCTGCAAATATAGAGTACTATGACAAAATGGTTTCAAAAAGTATT